CGCAACTGTTTTCTGTAAAAGATTACTCTGATTTTAAAAACAAAGCATAAACAAATCGGTCTTTTCTGGTTGTGAAATTGGGGATGTCACAAATTCCGTTGTCATCATTTGTCATGGGTTGGCGTGATCCTCACCATACCAAGTTCATATGTTTCGAAAACACATAACCGACAAATTAATGAAACCCTCGTCATTCGTATCGACAACCCGACCTAAACCTTAATATTGTCTCTTGTCTTCTATACCCCGAAGTACTCATGTGAAGAGTACCTTGCCCTCCGAAACCATGCCACCGTATACTGAGCAGACCTTCCCGAACTACCACTCGTCCAACAGATCAAGTTCAAGCACAGAGGCTAAGGACGAATACAGTCCACCTATCATTATTAAGTGTATACGCGAGGGTGGTATATAATTATAAATATGCGGATTTAGTATGTGTGTTTCCGCCCTATCTCCTGTTCCTTGTTTGGTTGTGGACCTGGGGCAGAGTAGCACATTCGATCGTCTTACTAATCTTAATTATATACGACTTGTATACACGTGGTAATGATAGATGGACCAAGTAGGAATCTTATCATGAACTTCAGAGCAAACTTACCCAAGGAAATATTAACATAAATTAATATGTAGAGGGTTGTTTGGTAACTTAGCCAAATTATAGGGTCCATGTATAAATTAAATGGACAAATATTGTTAATAATTTCCAAATAAGGACTAAAAATAACTAATTTGAATTTTACGTTTCAAGCTTGGACTTATTTTGCAAATAAATCTCAAGATGGGGTTTAAATTATTTAAATAAAATGGAAGTTTAGTTAATCTAGACATATTTTGAAAGAACTTTCGAGTGGGGGTAAATTCTGCACATTTTTATTTGAAGTTTAAAGGGCTAGGACTTGTTTTGTAATAACTTTTCCAGGGAGGGCTAGAGAATTATTTTGAAATTGAAGTTTGAAAGGTTTGGACCTCTTTTGAGAGAATATTTCTAAAAGGGGTAGGTTTTGATTAAATTCAAATGGAGTTCGAGGTTTACTTTGGTTCCCTCAGAACACAAATATATATATATATATATATATATATATATATATATATATATATATATATATATTAGAAAATTTTGAGGCCCGTGCTAAAGCACGACCCATGAATGGTATTTTCAATATTTCCTGGAAAAACCATAAGATTACACCGACAAACCATTGCAATGTTCTTTCTTGAAGTTTAACTAAATGCAACAAATAGCAATGAACTTTCATTCATAGTTTTTCATATATATTATTTCGATAAAAATGTTAGAACAACGCTATTATTGGAAGCTCTCTTGATGAAGTATGTAAGGGGAGATGTGCTTGGATGCCTCGTATGGTAAAAAATATTGGTGTGTATAGGTAAGAATAGTTTTGTCTCACCTTACAAAAAAATAGAGATTAGATTTAACATGGAAATGAATATATATTGAAATCAAATTGATCAGATGTTTTACATTTCAGGATTCTCAGCACTCCAAATCCATGGCTGGTAAACAATATTTCTTTCCACATAACTTGCCCATGACTCTGACTTACTTTTATTATGCAATGGATAGGCATTTGCATATGAAATGGCTCCAACAACAAGCACAACCTTCCATTTTTCCATGGTTGATTCATAAAGAGTAAAAGTATGGTTCGAGTAAAACATTTTACCAAGATCACATGTTAAAAGGCACTGCAAAAAGTAATGTCATCATAAAACATTATGACTAAATCCCATTACCATATGCTTGATTTTCATTACGATTTGCTTGATTTTCATTGATATAAGTCGGTATCACTTTAAAAAAACACGTAATTGGTAATCGATAAAAACATATAAGAAAGAATTTCATACCCCAATTCTTTTCTTATAGGATTCATGGGGTACATGTCATATAATATAGGATCATCCATGTTGGCCAAGGAATCACTACCATAGAATTGAGGGGCGGTCCATCTTACAAGTGAATGTTCAAATTTTAGATAAAAAAAATTATTGACAATAAGCCATTAAAATGGACACTAAAAGATAGTAAACTAATGATGTGGAATGGATTCTAGCTATTTCCAAATAGACCCGAATTGGCGGATAGCTGAACTGGAAAGTTGGTCTATCTAAGGGTATGCTAGTAGTTTAGATCTAACGAATTTAATATTGTTTACAAACGTGATGAAGAACAACCTCCTCTATTTTATTGCATAAGAAACAAGAGCCTAAAAACCCATATTATGTTAATATCACAATATACTTTTCGCATATGCAATATATAAATAGCATTTTATATTATATGCAGTTCTTGGTCCAATTTTTTAATAATTATAGTGATAACATACATGTTAAAATATCACGCAAACCTACTTAGGATAGATAAGCTAGGCTTTATACAACATGGGGATTCTTTCTCTGAAAAGTGAGAAACTTGGTCCCAATATTACTCTTCAAGTCGATTGGCAAGGTTATGAACAAATTGCTTCTTGGACTCTGATTGTGAAGCAAGAAATGATGAGTCACGAATGAAATCACCAACATGACACTTCAACATATAAATATTAAATTTTAACACCCGAGGAAATGGAACAAAGAAAATTTCTTTGGTGGCGTTCCTTTGATATGAAAATTTTATAAAAAGTGAAAAGCATAAATGTTCTCGTAACAGTTGTGGCCACTGGGATTATTGCCAAGAGGAAGTCATCATTTTTAATGTATTCTGCTTCACTATCACTTTCAAGATCAGGTCTTGTATAACCAGCTATCCCTTTTAGTATACAATTATGAATCTTCAATATTAGAAAATAACAATAAACCAAGTAGTACTTCGTGTGAGGTACCAGAATACAGTGGTATCCTACAAGTTACAAGAGTAACTTCTCTTGGTTGTAAATCATTGAATATCCTTTCAAAAGTAGGATTAAAATAGATACTATCTGATACATAAATATGCCTTCATCATCTATTGCATTATTTGACCTATAAAAATCATTCAAAATACAACATTCTTACAATGGGAACAAGGATAAATGCAATCTTGAAACGATGAAGGTTACCGGGTTTCAAGGCCACCCCAGGTGGGGAGCTAATGAATAATTGTCATTATCCAGATGGGATGGCAAGCCATATAGGTAGGATCTGCAAACCTTAGTAAAGAGGCTTTTAGATGACAAGGATGAACAGGGCATTTACATCTTTTGCATGGAACGTGGTTGAACTGTTAGGCTGCATTTCTTACATGAGGCATGACAGACTTGCCAATAAATTGTAACAATGTGACTACAAAAATACATAGAGAGAGAAGATTATTTTTTTTTTTTTTTGACAATATGGGTAGAGAACCGACTTTTAAAGTAGATATGATATTGATTTTTGGGTAACATATCTTTTGTGAAATTGGACAAGAAACAACTGCTAACTTTGCTAACCTTAAGAAACAGAATTAAAAGTGTTAGTATCTGATTCTTATTTTTTTCTGTTACTAAGGAGGATTGGGACGTTTGTTGGAAATTTATCAGTCTCTTAAAGGGCACACCTTGATTCATCTGTATTGTGATTGCAACATAACGGAGTACTCACCATAAGAACAAGCGGCTTTTGCACGGGTGTAAGATTTCAGTAAACTTTTGAAGTCTTACACATCACGGGTTCGATCTGCTTCTTTATCACGTCATCATCAAGGTTATTTGCCTAATCTCTGCTATTGGAATTTGGCTTTTGAGGAGATGTAATTATCGGTGTTGCATTGCAGTTTCTGAAACCCTAGCAACCAGAATTGAGCTTTGTTTTCAGTTTTAGTAGATTTTGTTCTTGCACTCTTCAATAGTTTCTCTGCCAGTGATCATAAGCTTTTCTATGGTCGGACGGACAATAAAACAAAATTTTGACCATTTCAGATTCTTATTATATCTATAGACTTTGGATGATTATGAATCTTCAAAAATAAAGATTTATCTTGTAATGGTTTCTTATGGCTCGAGAAAATTATGAATCACCAGTGATAGAAGAAATATGGATGTATGATTATGCTTAGGCATCTTAAATTGTATAAAATAGGCGAGATGGTCCGGTTGGATCATAACTGATTAAGAGAGAAGCCTTTAATTGTTGACCTACAAGTTACAAATCAAATAAAATTGAGAATCGGGTTTGGAGAAATCGTTAAGTTCTCCTGTTCTTGCACTCAAATTAAAACATACCGAAATACATATCAGGGTTATTCCAATCCAAATATCAAAAGATGAACTGAATAAGAGAAAAAAATTGGGGTTTTGAGATTTACATACCTTGGGTGACAGGCGTAAAAGTTTCGTATTCTTCGGTGTGTCCCTCATTTCATACAGCTGCAATTTTGAGTGATTTTTGTTTGTTATTGAAAGCAAGAGGCACGACGATGATGATGACAATCACTGCAATTTTGATTTCCACAGCATTACACCGATAAATATAAAATATAAGTCCACCGGCCACCTTAAAATTTCATCTGAATTTTAGGGTTTGTGTGACACCTCAATGATCTTATAAAAAAATTAAAACTAAAAAATCAAGTAAAAATTACAACACAATAAATCAAGAGAAAAGAGAAAACATACCAAGAACTCTATCGAAATAAATTTTCATTTGTGTTGAGTTCAACAAAACTATTTGAAAAAGAAGATGCAGTACACATTAAGTCAAACTGTAAGCATTCTAACGGGTGTAGCCTAGCATACAATTCAAATTACCATAGCTCCAATAAGCGATACAAGAGTCCAGAGCCTCGCATATAATGGTCTATCAGTGTACTTGAGCCTTTCAATATCGTACGTTCCCCCAGATCCATCAGGTCCAGGTCCATACTCAGGAAACTTTTACACCAGGCTGCACCTGCACCTGATAGTTTGTAATAGTGATACAATAATTTAGACCCAAAAAATATAACTTCTAAGAAACAAAACAAATGGGAAGGAAAAGTAGACGATTGTAGTAGTGAACAAACTACACCACAAACACAGCAATTAAAATGAAAAAGTGATAACTTACAGGATTCATTTGTTTCAAGGAACTAATGCCATAACTTGCAGGGTGGATTCCCTGGATAGTTAGCTTCAACATTCCCATAATTTGTGCTATAGCCAGTGTATCAACACTCAAGAATTCCATTATGATGCAAAGATAGAACCATCAATGGGCACCCAGGCGAAGATTTTGAAGAAAAAAAAATGCAATAAAATTCAAGATCGGGAGAGGCATCCACGGACGGGCTTTGATAAATATAGAAATAAGTTATGTAAACATGTATAATACATAAATGCAATAAAATTCAAGATCGGGAGAGGCATCCATGGGCACCCAGGCGAAGATTTTGAAGAAAAAAAAAACCCTAAAACAAAGACGATGAACTAATTCTTGTAGGAATCTTGGTAAATCAATTTGGGGTGATGTTAACAAAGGAAGATGTGAAGGTGTCGTTGGAAGCAAGGTTTGGTTGGATAAAACCATATGGGGAAAGAGGATGCATTGTCAACTATCAAAATTTAACCAGAAGAAGAGTTGGGGCACCGATGAAGGCATGAAAGAGAGTGGGCGATGGAAGAGAATAGATTGCGAGAAAAAAAAGAGGATTTCACTTGTGGCAATACGATCTCAGAAGAACGAATTTCAAAAAACGGGGAGGGGGAAAGGAATAGACAAGAAGGGGATCGAAGACAAAGAAAGAAAGGAGCATGGAACAGGCGTATGGATTGTCGTGTTGATTCGAAGCATCGTTTTTTGGAAGCGGCGATAAACATTAAAATGTCATTGAGACGATTGTTGGAGAGTTGGGAAGAGACGTAAAGAAAGGGTAGAAGACCGAAGAGGCAAAAGAGAGAAACGGTGGTCGGAAACAAGTGTCTATGAGCGAAGTAACGCGGAGGAGGAGATTAAACGGTGAAAGATCATGTATGTCAACGTGCATCGTTTAGAAAGAAAATGACGTGGCGACCATTGAACCATGTAAATTTGATTTTTGAGACACGAGAGAAATAGGGTTTATATATATATATATATATATATATATATATATA